CCTATTTTCTGCACATAAAATAAAATATTTTTGTGTTTACACTCAGTCTTTCAAATAGATGCAAGTAAAACACAGCAGAAAATAAATAAAGTCAAAGACTCAGCGGTCCTGTTGCTCTATTTTCACCTGTAAAGCAGGAGTGGGGCAGGCGGAGGGTTACCCTGGTGCAGGTGTGCCGTGGTCAGTGGAAGAATCCGTGAGTGTCTCTGTGAGTTTCCCATTACGTCGTAGCTACTCGGTGCTTGTTGGAAGTTTAGGGGTTTTTTCGCTGTAAAAAGAAGTTTTCTTCCCACGCACAGCGGACACTAATGTTTTTGTCACTTTTTATGGAATCAAACTCAAAGTAAGGTCAGTACTTCCACGCTTTAAACACTGCACGCTCATACTCTCTCTGCACTCGATATGTGATCCATTGTTGATCTGCACACAGCTGTTGTCACGAACGTCACACTCGCTTACGTCACTGTCGTGAGACATTCTCGCAAAAAATCACGGTTTTAGTAACGCAGTAACGCAGCGTTCCTACGGGAAAGTAACGGTAATCTAATTACCGTTTTTGCAATAGTAATCCCTTACTTTGCTCGTTACTTGAAAAAAGTAATCGGATTACTGCCCATCTCTGTTAATGACAGACAGCAGTGAAGGACCAATGCTGATAAGAGCACAGTGAAGTTTACATTTGGTTTGTTTCAGCCTGTCCTGTCCAGCAGAATGTGACGTCAGGCCAAACATGAGCTCTATAGACTCCTCTTCTTCATGTGTTTCTTTTACCTGATTATTAATTTCTATCAGTAGTTTCTTATTACAGTCCATGTGTAATATAAAGGAGAAAATGGAATAAAAGCATACTAGCACACAGAGAAGTGCCATCCATGGCCAATTCCTGCACCTTTAAGAAAAAACATGGGCCCACAATAACAATGGAGTACCACCATAGACCGGGCCTCCACCAGGAGACCCCAGGCACCAGGGCCCCAGATCCCGCACATGAAGCCCTGGCGAAGAAGCTAGCCGCTCAGCCCAAGGACAGCATCCACCACCACAAGGACCCAGACCACACGCCACCCACCCGGACCCCCACCAACAACAACTAGAGCAAAAACACATACATGACAGAAGTGTCAGGCATATGGAGAGACAACACTGCAGCTGACCACACCCACTAATGGAACTGATTGATTCATTTATTGATTATTCGAGGAGATTATCTCCACTAATGTCATCTAGAAATAAATTCCTGTATTAAACAACAAACAAGTCATTGTTGAATGTCTAATTTATGAGGTTAGTTTTAGAGACAAACAGTAAGAACTGTGTGTGTGTGTGTGTGTGTGTGTGTGTGTGTGTGTGTGTGTGTGTGGTTGTTGTTGGTGGTGGTGTTGTTGGTGGTGGTGTTTGTTTGTGTGTGTGTGTGCACATTTTAAATGATGTAAGATGAGCGATATAGGTAAAGTGTTCCAACGTGAATATCCTCTGCTGTTTTTAGTAGAGGAATGTGATTCAGCTGTATCATCTCTCAAAGCCAGGCAGAAAAATCTATATCTAAATATGTGCTGTTACCTGGCTGGAGGTGTGTGGTGGGCGTGTTCTAATGGCCACTAGACTGCAGATGGAAGTCAGCTGAACTTTGTTTTCTTACTCCCACATTTTGATAGTCATAGTTATGGTGGCAGCTGTAGGAAAACAACTGCTCAGGAAGATGATAGATGAAAAACATTGTTAGAGTGAATTGTTTAATGTTGTCATTTTTATGCTTGCCCACTCTGATGAAAGGAATTTCACTGTCCTTCCCCCCAGATTCTCGAGGTGGGGGGCTGTAATGTTTTATTGCAGATACATCCTGGAAGATCTGCTTCTTTTGATGTAAGCTTCCTGCTTTTATGACCCTTTGGTCAGCAGGAGGTAACACACACACACATTCTTACAGAAGTTCACACATATACATACAATGCCTTGTCTTAGAACCAAGTGGGCGTTGCTTTGCTATGACGTGTTTTGTGTGAACTGTCTCTCAATAAAAAGACAGCAGGAGGAGGTCAGAGTCGGGGTGATTTTCGTGGTGGACACAGGCCTCCCTTGCGCAAGTGATCGATCAATCGACTGTCTTGTTTTCTTCATGATGAATAAGTCTCTAGAATTAGCGGGGCTTGTGGAAACACAGACCCAACAAACATAATTAGAAAGAGATGATGAAAATATGCATGAGGCCTTGTATGTTCGTATTTAATGGCATCAGTGCCTCTTTACATAACAGGAAGTGCCTGTGAAATTAAAGCTGAAAAACATGATCAGGTACATTTAGAAAGTAAGCTTAGTCATTCCTCATTAACCTCTGTCAGCAGAGCTGAAAAACACTCAGCCCAGTATGAAATAAACAGACATTTTTTGAACAGAGACATGATCTGATGACTAAAGCTGCACAGGTTCGAACGCTCAGTCAAAAACGCTGCCACAATAAGACACCAGAATCTAAACTCAACAGAAGCAGAGTCGGTACTTACAGGAATAAGAGATTTGTCTCCTCCTGCCCAAGCAGTCAAGACCGATTGGGGTGCTGTGGGAGAAGCAGTGGGCCTTGATGGGCTCCAGGGAGGCTCCGGCATCTAGCTGTGGAAATAGAGCATGTTTTATTATCATCACTGTTCATTGGCACCCCGATGAGGATCATTAACATGTAACAGTCACATACTGGACAAACCTGAATCATGAATGGGTGTTCGAGAGACAACATGTGGGTTAAATAATGACAGAGCGGTGTAAGTATGTATTTCCAATCTGAGTCACTTTATGTGACTTATGTGGGTTGAAGGCTGAAGGGTTACCAATCGTTCCAGTGAGCTGGGACCTGGACAAGGCTTTTGCTACCAACCTCTGCACTATGAGAACATGAAGGAGTTTTTAATCTTGCTCAACCGACTGAAAGATGCAAGAACATCCTGATTCTCTGGCTTAATCACCAAGAACAATCCTGAGTTCTTCCATCAATAGACTTCTTACTTCTGCTCTCTTTCTGGTTTTCCTGCCATGTCATCCAATGTCCATGTCCTGTCCAAGTGCCTCAGACTACCCTGTTGTCTGAGTTTTATCCAAGTTTGTATTTCCAATCCATATATCCAATGGATATTATTCCTCCGAAATTCCATAATGGGGTTCACCTTGTCATCTACCTCTGGCTCCTCTCCAGTATCACAAAGCAGGAACTCCAGCAACACTTGAGGGAAGATGAAGAACTCTAATAATTGACCCACGCGTTTCAGCTTGTGGCCTTCATCAGGGTCATGAAGGCCACAAACGCGTGGGTCAATTATTAAAGTTCTTCATCTTCCCTCAAGTGTTGCTGGAGTTCCTGCGTTGTGAATTCTTTCATCCTCTCCATGCACCTTGGAAGCAGGTGAAATTTTTTTGCTGCGATTTATCCTCTCCAGTATCAATCAGTCTCTATAATCGGGTTGGAGATAGCTTTAAACAGCTGCTGTCATTCCTTTGCTTATAAAACCATCCCTGGAAGGTTGTGTGTTTTACTAACACAACAACTAAAACACACGTCCTTCCTGGTGAACAGCTGTCTCCAGAAGACCAAAGTGAAGCTTATCGACTGGTCCCAGCTTGAATCCCACCAAAGGACACACAACTATCATCAGGAGGGCGCGTCAGTTTGGGGACTTTTGTGAAAGAAAAGTATTTCTTTTTGTTTAAAAAAAATATCCACTTTGGAAATAAGTGGATCTTGATGACTACTTTTTAGGGCTCGTCATTCTGCTACTTCTTGCATGCACGCTATCATGGTCTTCATTTGTATACATGTGTTTGTGATATATATTGGCATGAAAAAAACAGTCAATTAATTGCATGCGTGCATGCATGTGTGCGTGTGTAATGTAAACATCCAGTGTTGGGGAGTAACGGAATACATGTACCGCCGTTACGTATTTAAAATACAAAATATGAGTAACTGTATTCCGTTACAGTTACCGTTTAAAAAGGTGGTATTCAGAATACAGTTACTTTGTTGAAATAAATGGATTACACTGCGGTACTTCCTGTTTCATATTGTCGCGGGTCAGGACTGTTTGGGTTTTGTTTGACAGCTACGTTCTGTTGTTCCACGCGGCAGCGTTACGGTTGCCATGGTTACAGGGCGACGCTCTCTCTCTGCGTGTTTCCTGGGTGAGAGAGCGCCTTTTCATTGTTGTTGTGCTAAGCTAACAGGCAGAATGCTACAAGCATAGCTCTAAAGAATGTAGCATCATGGGCAGTGTAGTCCGTGCTGCAGGGAGAATGGACTGCCATACACGTTATGGGTCTGTGAGCGAGGAAGGAGAAAAAGGAAAAGTAGGAGTTGTCATCAAGCAAAAACGGGAGCTGGAAGCATGTAAATATAATAATAACCACTTCAGCCAAGAAGAGAGCCTGACGAGCCCAGTTGTAAGTAAGCTATTAAGACTCGACTGTACGCTGTGTTCCTGTTTTCCTCCGAAAACAATAAGTTCTGTTGGAGCAGCCTTTCAACGCCTCTCTCTGTCTCTCGCTAGCAAAGTTGACCCACACAACAAAGTAAAGTTATTTTTCGGCTACGAGCCGACAGGGACCCCCCCGTATTAGTCAGAGGTCCCTTTACTACAGTTCGGAGTCGCGGACCTTCAGTAATAGTAATAAATCACACAGCAATAGTACATTCACGTTGTTGTAAACAGCATGATAACATATTAAGTAATCCAAAGTATTCAGAATACGTTACTCTCATTGAGTAACGTAACGGAATACGTTACAGAATACATTTTGGGGCATGTAATCTGTAATCTGTAATGGAATACATTTTAAAAGTAACCTTCCCAACACTGTAAACATCCAAAATAAAACTAAGATTTTTGCAAAAGTTATGTGAAAAACTCGTGACTCTGTTTAACAGTGCTTAGGAAATACTTCAGAAATGCATCATTTTCATAAGGGGGCTAATAATTATGGAGTCCCTCAGGGTTTAATGCTTGGACCAATTCTCTTTTCTTTGCATATGTCATCCCTGGGTTATTAAATGATTATTTTCATTATTAAAGTGTTTCAAAGACATTTTCTATCACTGCTTTGCAGCCAATACACAACCTCAAAAGCCTCTCCCACCTGCATGAGTATTTGAATAGTGTCTTTTGTTGTAGTCTCACTTTTCACTGCCTTGGTTTTAGGTATTGTACAAGTAAAGACTGTCAGAAAATGACTACAGCAGACATCTCTTTACAAAACAGAACCAGCTTTACCCCGATCACATTTGCACACCAGACCTCTGCCTCCCCATCACATATTTATAATACAACAGATGAAAACATGGATGTGTCGTGGGCTCCCTAGTTAAATTCAATTCATTTCCATTTTATTTATATAGCGCCAAATCATAACAACAGCTGTCTCAAGGCACTTTATGTTGAAAGCTAAAGACCCTACAATAATACAAAGACAATCATATGACCCCCTTTTGTGCAAGCACTTTGGCCACCTCGGGAAAGAAAGTATTGCACAAATGGAAGAAAGCACATCTTCAAGAAACTTAAAGAAGTCCAGTTGCTTTCTGTCCAAGCGCCTTAGATTATTAGTTGAAGAACTGTGCAACATCCGTCACTCGGCTGTGACGGCTGAGCCCTGACAGTAAGGTAGATCCTACAATACGCAGGCAGCAGATCCAACATTGCGAGCTGGGTTTCAGCTCCACTTCTAACCCCAGTCAGTATTTGCAACACTCACTGTGCTCATACAAAGCTTTTTATCAGTCGTTTGCTGAACACATCAGCAAACGACTGTTGCAGTGCAGCAACACCTGCTCTCTGGGCCTGTGTAAAATGGTTATTACAACGGAGGGAGGCAGCAGTGGTGGAATTTGGCACCACCGGCCCCAGCTCATATATCTCCTTAACCAGGCTCACCAGAGATGCAGTTTCAGCCTCTCTCCATGCTTTTAGGACTTTGAGGTGATATAGCTGTGTGACCGTACCACCTCATAGTCAACGTTGCGCACTCACCGTGTGACCACAAAGGGTCCTTGCCACTCGGTGAGCAACTTTGAACTTGAAGGGAGTAATACAAGCATTTTTTCTCCCAGTAAAATTCCCTGAGTCCTGTGTTGTACAGGCGCTGTTGACACTCCTGGGCCTGGAGCAAATGCACTGAATTTTCACAACAACCCCAACTGTGCAAAGATGCACACGAAAGGAGGTCGGACACCAACTAGTGAGAAACAGAATGACAAATGGAACAACACTGCCATCCCTTATGTAGCAGCTTTGTCAGAGAAACTCGGGAGAATCTTCTCCAAGCACGACATCCCAGAGCACATCAGACCCAGCCACACACTCAGGCAACAACTGGCCAGGACAGATTTCCCAAACGCAAACTAAGCAACAGTGAATGCTCTGCAGTGCAGTGAGGAGTGCTTAGACTTGTACATCGGAGAAACCAAACATCCATAAATGTACAGCACAACATAGGGCAGGTATCAGAAGGAAAGCAGGCTGTGGTCTCTATGGAAAAAGGATAGAGGAAAAAAATCATGCAAGATCATTGCCTCTACTGCAGTGCTTACACACTCAAAGTCCACCCAGCACCCAAGCCTGGGGCTCTGGTGCAGTAGCACAAACCGAAGGGTGGCTCTCTGACAGTTACTTGCTGGGGATCTCTTCAAACAGAGTTTGTGAACAGCAAATATCCACCTTACGTGCAAATACAGTTAATTATGGATTGGGTGCATATATCAGCTTCTGTGATGCATGAACTGTCTTTGTGCTGTGTTCTTCTATGGTGTTTGGATTCTGTGCGAGTGTGGTGATGTAGAAATACTGTCACACGTTTGCATATTTCTGATATCCATCAACAAACAACTTAAACATAAACAGTTACAAAGAAAGAACAATACAGTATCCACATCTGAACCAAAGAGTGAAACAGTGAAATGTGGATTATTAAATATTAGGTCTCTCTCCTCCAAGTCTCTGTTAGTACATGACTTAATAATTGATCAACAAATTGATTTACTCTGCCTTACAGAAACCTGGTTGCAGCAGGATGATTATGTTAGTTTAAATGAATCAACACCCCCGAGTCATTCTAACTACCAGAAACCTCGAAGCACAGGCCGAGGGGGCGGTGTGGCAGCAATTTTTCACACCAGCCTATTAATTAATGAAAGACCCAGACAGACTTTTAATTCATTTGAAAGCCTGATGCTTAGCCTCGTCCACCCCAGCTGTGAAACTCAGAAACCAGTCTTACTTGTTATCATCTATCGTCCACCTGGGCCTTACACAGAGTTTCTGTCTGATTTCTCAGACTTTATATCTAATTTAGTTCTGAGCTCAGATAAAATAATTATTGTGGGTGATTTTAACATCCATGTAGATGCTAAAAATGACAGCCTCAACATGGCATTTAATCTGTTATTAGACTCAATTGGCTTCTCTCAAAATGTAAAAGAACCCACCCACCACTTTAATCACACTCTAGATCTTGTTTTAACATATGGCATAGAAACTGAACATTTAACAGTGTTTCCTGAAAACCCTCTCCTGTCTGATCATTTCCTGATAACATTTACTTTTACAATAATTGATTACACAGCGGTGAAGAGTAGACTTTATCAAAGTAGATGTCTTTCTGAAAGTGCTGTAACTAAGTTTAAGAATATAATCCACCCACTGTTATCATCTTCAATGCCCTGTACCAACACAGAGCAGAGCAGCTATCTGAACGCTACCCCAACAGAGGTCGATTATCTTGTTAATAATTTCACCTCCTCACTACGTACGACTCTGGATACTGTAGCTCCTGTGAAAACTAAGGTCTCTAATCAGAAGTACCTGACTCCGTGGTATAATTCTCAAACACGTACCCTAAAGCAGATGACTCGTAATCTGGAGAGGAAATGGCGTGTCACAAATTTAGAGGATCATCATTTAGCCTGGAGAAATAGTTTGCTGCTTTATAAGAAAGCCCTCCGCAAAGCCAGAACATCTTACTATTCATCACTGATTGAAGAAAATAAGAACAACCCCAGGTTTCTCTTCAGCTCTGTAGCCAGGCTGACAAACAGTCAGAGCTCTGTTGAGCCAACCATCCCTTTAACGTTAACTAGTAATGACTTCATGAACTTCTTCACAAATAAAATTTTTATCATTAGAGAAAAAATTACCAATAATCATCCCACAGATGTAATATTATCTACAGCTACTCTTAGTACCATTGATGTTAAGTTAGACTCTTTTTCTCCAATTGATCTTTCTGAGTTAACTTCAATAATTACTTCCTCCAAACCATCAACGTGTCTTTTAGACCCCATTCCTACAAAACTGCTCAAAGAAGTCCTGCCATTAATTAATTCTTCGATCTTAAATATGATCAACCTATCTCTAATGATCGGCTATGTACCACAGGCCTTCAAGCTGGCTGTAGTTAAACCTTTACTCAAAAAGCCATCTCTAGACCCAGCAGTCTTAGCTAATTATAGGCCAATCTCCAACCTTCCTTTCATATCAAACATCCTTGAAAGAGTAGTTGTCAAACAGCTAACAGATCATCTGCAGAGGAATGGTTTATTTGAAGAGTTTCAGTCAGGTTTCAGAGCTCAGCACAGCACAGAAACAGCTTTAGTGAAGGTTACAAATGATCTTCTTATGGCCTCTGACAGTGGACTCATCTCTGTGCTTGTCCTGCTAGACCTCAGTGCAGCATTCGATACTGTCGACCATAATATCCTATTAGAGCGATTAGAACATGCTGTAGGTATTACAGGTACTGCGCTGCAGTGGTTTGTATCATATCTATCTAATAGACTCCAGTTTGTGCATGTAAATGGAGAGTCCTCTTCACACACTGAGGTTAATTATGGAGTTCCACAGGGTTCAGTGCTAGGACCAATTCTGTTTACATTATACATGCTTCCCTTAGGCAGCATCATTAGAAGACATAGCATACATTTACACTGCTATGCAGATGACACCCAGCTCTATCTGTCCATGAAGCCAGATAACACACACCAATGAGTTAAACTGCAGGAATGTCTTAAAGACATAAAGACCTGGATGGCCGCTAACTTTCTGCTTCTTAATTCAGATCAAACTGAGGTTATTGTACTCGGCCCTGAAAAGCTTAGAAATATGGTATCTAACCAGATTCTTACTCTGGATGGCATTACCTTGGCCTCCAGTAACGCTGTGAGGAACCTTGGAGTCATTTTTGACCAGGACATGTCCTTCAACGCACATATTAAACAAATATGTAAGACTGCTTTCTTCCATTTGCGCAACATCTCTAAAGTTAGAAATATCCTGTCTCAGAGTGACGCTGAAAAACTAGTTCATGCATTTATTACTTCCAGGCTGGACGACTGTAATTCATTATTATCAGGAAGTCCTAAAAACTCCCTGAAAAGCCTTCAGTTAATCCAAAATGCTGCAGCAAGAGTCCTGACAGGGACTAGAAAGAGAGAGCAGATTTCTCCTGTTTTGGCTTCCCTTCATTGGCTTCCTGTTAAATCCAGAATTGAATTCAAAATCCTGCTCCTCACATACAAGGTCTTAAATAATCAGGCCCCATCTTATCTTAATGACCTTGTAGTACCATATCACCCTATTAGAGCACTTCGCTCTTGCTCTGCAGGCCTACTTGTTGTTCCTAGAGTATTTAAAAGTAGAATGGGAGGGAGAGCCTTCAGTTTTCAGGCCCCTCTTCTGTGGAACCAGCTTCCAGTTTGGATTCAGGAGACAGACACTATCTCTACTTTCAATAGCTACTCTTTTCTAAGCTAGTTAGGGCTGGACCAGGTGACCCTGAATCCTCCCTTAGTTATGCTGCAATAGCATTAGGCTGCCGGGGGATTCCCATGATGCATTGAGTTTTTCCTTTCCAGTCACCTTTCTCACTCACTATGTATTAACAGACCTCTCTGCATTGAATCATATCTGTTATTAACCTCTGTCTCTCTTCCACAGCATGTCTTTATCCTGTCTTCCTTCTCTCACCCCAACCGGTCGCAGCAGATGGCCGCCCCTCCCTGAGCCTGGTTCTGCCGGAGGTTTCTTCCTGTTAAAAGGGAGTTTTTCCTTCCCACTGTTGCCAAAGTGCTTGCTCATAGGGGGTCATATGATTGTTGGGTTTTTCTCTGTATCTATGAAGCGCCTTGAGGCGACTTATGTTGTGATTTGGCGCTATATAAATAAAATTGAATTGAATTGAATTGAATTGATATCTCTGAAGGTAGGAACTGCTGCATCGGTATTATTACCCTTGTTTTTATCATGCATGTTATATCACTCTCACGTAAGTCTGTTTTGTCTTCACTCTGCATTTTTCCACATTGTATTTGACACTGATTGCACCTGTAAATGTTTTCCCTGTTTAGAATAAGAGGAACTGTTATTTACACATAAGTGCTGAGCAGGTCAGGATTTTGTACTTCTACATCCTCAACGTTACATGTTTCTAATTTTACTCCACATGCCTTCTCTCTTCTTCTTAAATCTGTGAATGTGTCTTGTTTTCATGTGCACAATGCTGCTGCTGTGTCTCCACAGTACTGTCCTGTGTTTCCTAGTCTCTATTCAGTCTGTCCCCACTGTTGACCTCAGGTTGTTCCAGCAACTTCACTACTTGCGTGTCTGAAGTGTTTACCTTTGCATCAAATGTCTCCGTTTTGTGTTGCTTTTGGATATGCAGACTGCATGGCTCTGTGCCACCTGTAACAACAGTTTGTAAACTGCACTGCTCTTTTAGTTTCTCTGTGTTTAAATGGGGTTGGATCTCAACTGAAAAAAGGTCTTTTTTGATGAGTTTCAAAGGAAGATTTGGTGCCACACAGTTTTCTGGTCCTTTTTTCATGCTGTAAGTAGATGGTTTGACATAAGTCTCTGTGACATCTCGGTGGCTGTCCTTTGCTGATACTGATTCTCTGCGTCGAGCCTTAGTGTGCCCACTGCAGACGCTGACTCCCATTGTTTGTCGAAAAATGTAGGCATCCTCCAGTCGCAGCAAAGCGTCCACAGAATCCTCTCCTTCTCCACTAAAATCTGACAGGATGTCACTGTGCCATGAGCAGGAGTCAAAGTACTCAAATGTTTCCCCATCTCCTGTGCTTTGCTCACACCACTTCAGGGAAACCATACCAAAGCCCCTCTCCTCTGAGTCCATTGCTGCAGAGAGGCTGTGAGAGTCGTCAGGGGCTTCCTGTGGCTGTGGAGACATTAAAGAAGACGAGGTTGAGTAACAAACCAACAAGTTTAGCACACACAGACATATATCTATCATTTTATACACTACCGGTCTAGTTTGTTATTGAAAACTATGCAGTTTAATGTCTCATTGCACTCTGAAATGAAAGCATAGTACAAATAACTAATTGGAGTTGAAACAAAAAAAAGAATTCATTAACTCATCAAAGTAGCCACCATCCATCCATCCATCCATCTCCATCCGCTTTATCCGAGGCCGGGTCGCGGGGGCAGCAGCCTAAGCAGAGTAGCCACGTTTGTGACGAATATTTGATTTCTATTGTAGAAACACGACTGTGTTCAGCTGTTATATCTGCCAAAATTCTTCCCATATCTGCAGCATAAGTTCCCATAAATGTGGACCTTGTAGTTGCTTTGCTTTCACTCTTCTGTCCAGTTCATCCCAAAGCAGCTCGATGGGGTTTAAGTCTGCAGACTGTGCTGGACCTCCGTGTTTTCAAGCTCACCGCCTTGTTCTTTGTTCCTGAGGTGGTTCTGACACAGCTTGCACTGATGCTTTGGGTCATTATCCTGCTGTAGGATGAAGCCCTGACCAACTAGACACATACCAGAGGTCCCTGCATGGTGCTGCACAATGCTGTGCAGCTGTTTTGGTTCAGGGAGCCTCTCACTCTGTACAAGTCACACACACACACAGTGTTTTGTATTCCACTAAATTGTGTGCAAAATCGTATATGCTCGTTTGTTGATTTTGTGTATCTGTTTATTTCAGGTTCTAGCATTGTGCTATGCAAAGCTTTGCACATTTGTCACGGTTCTGGGTCCGTTGGACCCAGTATTTTGAGTTCATTATGTTTTGGTACTTTTGCATCATGGATTTTCCTTTATGTTTCTCTGGTACTTGGTGTTTCAGTTATCTTGGTGTTTTTCTATATTATGATTTATGATCTGATACTGTTGTGATTATGATTATCATTTAGTAGCCTTTGGTCAGTGTCAAGTCTGTCTCTGTCTAGTCTGTGTCTTAGTAAAGTGTGTTTTGTTTCCTGTTTTACTTTGAAGGTTCTTGTTCCTGTCTGATGTTAGTGTGTGCAGCTTTGTTCCCCCTGTCTCGTTAGCCCTGATCTCTCCCAGCTGTGTCTCCCTCCTGTTGCCGATTCCCCCGTTACTACCCTGTGTATATAAGCCCTGTGTTTTCCCATGCTCGGTGTCGCGTCGTACCATCAGATTATGCCTGTGTGTCCTTGGTCTCAGTGTTCCATCCTCACTTCATGTTTGTTTTCCTGCCAGCAATAAAGCTGAGGTTTTTGAGTTACATTCTGTTTTCCGAGTCCTGCATTTGGATCCTCATCTCTCGCCTGCCCGCACACAGAGCCCTGACAACATTAGCCTGTTTATTGTTTTAGGCACCATTCAAAACAGCTCAGGCTCTCTCAGGTGAAAACTCATCAATCAGACTGAGCCAAGCTAGTTTAAACAAGTGCATCTGAAAATGGAGAGAGTCATTTTATGAATAGCTAGTGCAGCTGAAGGCTCCTGACTGTTGTACTGGTTCTCTCCTTCTTTGCACAGTCGAGGAGCATGTCAGGCTATCTTTCACTGTGTGTTGTACTCGTATGCAGGTGACAAATAAATAATCTTGAATCTTGTCTGCTGCCACTTAAGGTCAGTTTAACAAATATCAGGATCAAATGCTTATGTTAGCCAACCTTCTTCTTGTTTATATTGCTTTGCCTCTGCTACACATAAGACAGAGGTTACAGTAATGTTTATGCTTTTCTGCACAGTAGTCAAGTCAAGTTTATTCATAAAGCACATTTAAAAACAACCGAGGCTGACCAAAGTGCTGTACAATAAAATACAAAAATGGTAAATGGCCTGTATTTATATAGCGCTTTACTAGTCCCTAAGGACCCCAAAGCGCTTTACATATCCAGTCATCCACCCATTCACATCACACATTCACACACTGGTGATGGCAGCTACATTGTAGCCACAGCCACCCTGGGGCGCACTGACAGAGGCGAGGCTGCCGGACACTGGCGCCACCGGGCCCTCTGACCACCACCAGTAGGCAACGGGTGAAGTGTCTTGCCCAAGGACACAACGACCGAGACTGTCCAAGCCGGGGCTCGAACCGGCAACCTTCCGATTACAAGGCGAACTCCCAACTCTTGAGCCACGATCGCCCCATATAAAATACAATACAATAAAACACAAGTACATAAAACACCTCACTGATAAAACAATAAGTTGTAGACCTACTTTTGAACAGTCTGCAGTCTTATTGATCATACGTCTGCACTGTCAGCTCTTTGAAGAACCTCAAGCATGAAATGTCTCCATATCATTGTTACTTTGTAAAAACATTTCTGTTTGAAGCATCAGGCTAGTCCACACTCACACATACTACATTCTGTTAAAGGTCAAAGGTTGCACTTACTCTCCATTTCTTCAGTGCACCACCGCTGTGCAGCATCAGAGCACGAACGCGAATAGCAAACCAGCTCAGCACAGCTCCCATGGTGTGGCTCACATACATTAACACTTCGAACACCAGCATTTACATACATGTGTCCAAGCTCTTCTCTTTCCCAGTACTACATCTTCAAAGATCCCTCCTGAACTCCTCTGCTTTGTCCATGATCATAATTAGTGTTTGTTAATGTCTTTGTTTGATCTTCCACCCCTTCTTTTCTTCTTTTCCACACACAGATTTCATTAACAGAAAGTCTTGTAGCAAGATAACCGTAGACAGTGCAAAGAGCAATCCTTCCTGTTTCGCAGTGTTTCAGGGGTGTGGTTACTCTACATTAGCCAGAGCTTAGTCCAGCCTCAAAGCAGCAGGTACACCTTGATCTCTAAATAACAAGGAAAGACACTAAGAAGCCCTGCTATAAATACAGAGCTGCGGTTTCAGACAGAGAAGCTCGTGATCTCTGCACGTAACTCAAGGACATGGGATTGTGCATGGTAGACACAATGGTCTGTTGGTTGGGTCTGCTATAAATTGCTTTTCAAAACTATAAAAGTACAAATTGGCACAAATCAGCGTGTGACACTCTAAGATCAGGGTGTCAAACATAAGGCCCGGGGGTCATAATCGGTTCAGCAGGACTTAAATCCCGCTGACTGGATGGCTTTGGAAAATGTGAAGGAAAACAGAAAATTTAACTGCAATTTGGAGGTTTTACAGCTTTTCCTACTGATAAAGACCTCTCGCATGGCCATTCATGCTACACAGAAGTAATTAAGCCATAGGTTTCTGTCATCTTCCGCATTTAATTCTTAAAATTATAGCCAAAGAGTCGTGCTGACAGATTTCTTTCTGTTAAAATAGCACTTCATTTTGTATACAAGATATTTTAGGGACTAAATGTGTCGTTAAACTTCTGAACACTGGCAGAAAGGGCAGTTTCATTGGTGTGACCCACATATGATCAAAGTCAGGTAGATATGCTTCCAATGTAAAATGAGTTTGCAAACCCTGCTCCAGATGGTTTATACAGTCCACATCAAAAGTTTAAGACCATTTGAAAAATGGCAAAAAATCCTATTTTGCATGTTTGGATCTTAACAAGGTTCCAAGTAGAGCTTCAACATGCAACAAGAAGAAATGGGAGTGAGACAAAACGTTTTTTTGAGCATGCAGTTTATTGAAAACAATGCTTAAACTGAAACAGGCTGTTACAGCTGATCATAAGTTTAGGACCACACCTCCAAAAAACCCTGTAAACCCCCTAAAACAGAAATCAAAGATCCAAACATGAGCTCAGTCGTGAGGAGCTCCACCGTTATTGTTGATCACTTCAAAAATGTATTGCAGCATGCTTGATGTGTTTCCATGAGGTGATGGGAACATTTCTCCAAGTGGGAACAGATGGCCGCATGAAGGGGATCTACTGCCTGGAACTGTTGTCCGTTTTTGTAAACTTCCCTTGCCATCCACCCCCAAAGGCTCTCAGTTGGATTTACATCAGGGGAACACGCAGGATAGTCCAGAAGAGTGATGTTATTCTCCTGGAAGAAGTCCCTTGTCCTGCAGGTATTGTGTACTGTAGCGTTGTTCTGTTGTAAAACCCAGACGAGGGCCCTCAGTCATGAGGGATGCTCTCTGCAACATCTGGACACAGCCAGCGGCCGTTTGATGCCCCTGCACCTCCTGAAGCTCTGTTGTTCCACTGAAGGAAAAAGACCCCAGACCATTATGGCGCCCCCTCCACTGTGGAGCGCAGAAAAGGTTGGATCTGCTTGTCATGCCAGTAATGTTGGAAGCCATCAGGACCACTAAGGTTACATTTGTTCTCATCACACAATAAAACGTTCTTCCACCTTTCAGCGTCCCATGTTTGGTCCAAACGGTCAGTTCTGTGGCGTTCAAGGAGACGAGGCCTTTGAAGACGTTTTATGTTTTTGAACCCCTTCAGTCTCAGATGCCATCTGATGGTTATGGGGCTGCGGTGGGCACCAGCAACGGTCTTAATTTGGGTCGAGGATCGTCCAGTGTCTCGACGGGCAGCCAACTGGATCCACCAGCTCAGTGCTGGTGACAGTTTTTGGGTCTTCCACTTGACTTTTTTGTTCCATAACCCTCAGGATCATTTAAGAAATTCCAAATGACTGTCTTACTGCGTCCCACCTCAGCAGTGATGGCGCTGCTTATGCAGTTCAACAACCCAACCACGTTCAAAACCGTTTTTTTGAACGTGTAAGTGTAAGTGCTACTGGAACAACAGAGTCACACTGCTCAGGTTTTCTTCAAATGAAGAAAAAGATATTCACATCAAACCTGGTTAAAATACATCTATCAGAGTATTTCATGAATGAGAACCAATGAACTCCAATGAAGGCCAAAGCTTTGGCTCTGTGATCTAACTCTTCACTTAATCTTTAAACTACATGTTTAGAGCCAAGACCCACAGAAGGCTGTTGGCTTTCAAACTGATGGAATAAATATGGCGGTTATAACGATAACTCTTTTGTAAAATAATCAGAAGTATT